CTCTGTGTCCCTTCTGTTCTGACAGATGCCCTGTTCCCAGTAAAACCTTGCCACTTTGCTCTCTCACGCCTGAGTTCTTTCTTGCACAAAGACAAGAACCCCAAACTTCTCTCTGGTGACAGGACAGCAACTCCAGCTCTTTTTTGGTTCCTGTTAGCATGGAATATCTTTTTCCATCCTTTTACTTTTAGTCTGTGTATATCTTTGTTGGTGAGGTGTGTTTCTTGCAGGCAGCAAATATATGGGTCTTGTTGTTTTTAATCTATTCAGCCAGCCTGTATCTTTTAATTGGAGAGTTCAGGAAATTTACATTCAAGGTGACTATTGGTAAATAACAATTTGGCCCTGTCACTTTCCAAAAATATTCCTGTTGTTTACTTTGGATTTCCTTTATACCTTTACCAGGATATTTCCTGTCTTCACTTTCTTTCATAGTGATGATCATGCTTCTGTGCTTCTATGTACAGCACATACTTAAGCATCTTTTGTAGTGCTGGAGGGGTGGTGACAAACTCAATTCTGGGTTGACAGTTTTTTTCTCTTAAGACTTGGAGTATATATCTCGTCATTCTCTCCTAGCCTGTAGGGTTTCTGATGAGAAGTCAGTTGTGAGTAATTGGAGATCCTCTGAAAGTAACCTGGTGTTTCTCTCATGCACATTTTAGAATCTTTTCTTTATGTTTTACTGTGAGAGTTTGACTACAATGTGTCATGGTGAGGATATTTTTTGATTGTGTCTATTAGGAGGTCTCTGTGCTCCCTGTACTTGAACATTCCTTTCTTTCTCCAAATTAGGGAAGTTGTCTGTAATTATTTCACTAAAAAGGCCTTCTAATCTATTCTCTCTTTCCATGCCTTCAGGAACTCCTAAGACCTGTATGTTGGGTCATTTGATAGTATCCCATAGATTTCCAACACTGTGGTTTTCTAATTTCTTCTTTCTTCTGGTCTGACTGTAAAATTTCCAGAGATTTGTCTTCTAACTTGGATATCTTTCTTCTGCCTCTCCGAGTCTGTTGTTAAGAGGCTTTCTACCACATTTTTATTTGATTTATTGAATTCTTCATTTCTAATATTTCATTTTGATTTCTCTTTAATATCTCAATTTCACAGGAAAAAGTTTCATTTGTGTGAAGTATGGATTTCTTTAATTTGTGGATTTACTTCTGATTACTTCTAGGTAATCTACAATCAATTTTTAAAATTCTGTTTCTGGCATTTCTTCTATCTCTTCATCTTCACATTCTAATATTGAAGTATTGTTGTGTTCCTTGGAGGGGGGAACAACATGTTGTCTTCCTTATTCTTTTTGTTGAATTTCTGCATTTATTTTTAGGCATTTGTGGACATTTTGGTTGGTTGGCTGGTTGTTTTCCTCTGACGGCTTTTATCTTTGGTCTATGCCTCTGTGGATTTTGGAGTGTCTGCTCTTTCAGTGAATACCCAGAGGAGTGTACTGGGTGTGGTCAGGGAGCTCTGTTCAGTGCTCCAGGGTGATGGGAGTATCTAAGGTGACACCTAAGTTGTGCATGGTAAATTTTTTTTTTTTTATCAAAGCGGAGGTTGGTTCAGCTCTGTTGGCATAGTTTCATGCTCACCTTCTCTCCTGCAAGGAGACCAGTGCCTGGGCACCAGCCCCAGTGGGTGTAGTTTTCATCTGTGCTGCCACAAGAATCACACAAAGGATCCGTGCAGTCCTTGATGAGAGCACGGATGCCGTAGCAATGACCCTCACCAGGGATCAGAGAGCCCCTAGTGTGTGGAGCCGCCCACAGTGAGTGTCCAAAGACCCAGCCACACCCTGAGGCCTCCCATGCAGCCACAGTGTTTTCCCAGTCCCAGCACACACGCCTCCCACAGTCCTGAGCTCTCAGCTCCATCAGCTCGCCACGCTGCCCAGGTGACTCCTCTCAGCTAGTTGCTTGGCGCACGCAGACACAAGCTGGCACAGCTGCCACGTATGTCCAAAATGGTACCTCCCCTTTCTTGGCTAGTTACAGAACACTGTGCTGAGTGGCTGGGGAGAGAGAAATGTGCCCCCACTCTGCTTTCCCTCTAGGTTTGCAGGTACACTGTCCTCCACAGGGCTCCAAGCCAGACTCACAGCAGGCTCTTCCTGCAGCTTTATCACCAGTGGCTTGGGCTGCTGCAGTCTGGTTCACCTCACTCCAGAGCTGGTGCTGAGGCTCTTGGCTACTGGGGCCCTGAGTTGTGTGTGCCCACACTCTCCATGTAGATCCACAGTGTCCCTATAATTTGTTTGGGATTTCCTCTGCTGTTTTCTCCCTAACTCTCCCCTGAGACTGCACTCTCTCCACATTTTTAAAACTATCTTCCCCTAGACTAGAGCAGTAAACTCCCTCCCTATTCTGCCATCTTGGAATCGGACCAAACCATTTTCATGGGACTCACATGGCCTGTGGGCCGGATGTTCCCCACCCACGATCTTGAGTTTACAAACAATTAAAATAAACAATGTTTAAAAATGGGTATGGGGGGGCGGCGCTGTGGCGCAGTAGGTTAATCCTCTGCCTGTGGCGCCGGCATCCCATATGGGCGCTGGTTCTAGTCCCAGCTGCTCCTCTTCCAATCCAGCTTTCTGCTATAGCCTGGGAAAGCAGTGGAAGATGGCCCAAGTGCTTGGGCCCCTGCACCCACATGGGAAACCTGGAAGAAGCTCCTGGCTCCTGGCTTTGGATCAGAGCAGCTCTGGCCATTGTGGCCATTTGGGGAGGTGAACCAATGAAAGGAAGACCTTTCTCTCTGTCTCACTCTCCCACTGTCTATAACTCTACCTCTCAAAAAAATAAATAAAATATTTTTTTTTAAAAAATGGGTATAGGCTATGAACAGACGTTTCTCCAGAGGAAACAAAGAAATCAGCATTAAGTACACAAAAAATGCTCAAAGTCATTGGCCATCAGGGAACCAGCACACCAAAGCCACAGGAGATGCCCTCTCACTCCCATGAAATGGGAAAACAAGAAAGCCTTGTGCATTGCTGGTGTGAATACAAATGGATCCAGTCCCTCTGGACATGGTCTGCAGGGCTTCAGAGTGTCCACATCACCGCCTGCTCTAGCTTTCAGGTATACAACTAGGAGAGATGGAAACCTGCACACACGTTTGCAGCAGCAGTGCTCCTGGTAACCACAAAGGGGAAACAGCATGCACCAACACGCGAGTGAATAAACGGAGTGTGACTTCACAGAGCAGGCGTTCAGCCATGCAGGTGCATGGTGGCCCATGACACGGTGCTACCCAGGAGAAGCCACACAGTGAAAGATTCCAAGTGCATAAAATGCCCAGAACAGGGGGCTACTTAGGGTGGGCATGGGGACATGCAAGGTGACAGCCAAAAGGTACAGGTTTGTTTATTTTTTGAGGTGATGAAATGCTCTCGGCTCGACTGTAGCGATGATTGTATGCACTGCACTTTACTGTACACTGCAAATGGATTCTGTGAATAAAATGTAAGGCAGGTATGCAAATTACATCTCAACAGTCATCTAAAAAAGCAAAGCTCAGGGCCAGCGCTGTGGTATAGCAGGTAAAGCCATCATGGTGCTGGCATCCCATATGGGCGCCAGTATGAGTCCTGGCTGCTCTTCTTCCAATCCAGCTCCCTGTTATAGCCTGGAAAAGTAGAAGATAGCTCAAGTGCTTGGGCCCTGCACCCTCATGACCTGGAGGAAGCTCCTGGCTCCTGGCTTCAGATCGGTCCTGCTCCAGCCGCTGTGGCCATTTGGGGAGTGAACCAGCGGATGGAAGACCATCCCCCTCCACCGCCTCTGCCTCTGCCTCTCTGTAACTTTGCCTTTCAAATAAATAAGTAAATCTTAACAAAAAAAAGCAAAGGTCCCATTACAAAGGGGAAAGGATGATCTTTGCAAATAAGTGGCACTAGGTCAGCTGCCACCGCTGCCCACTCCTCACGCAACAGAAGCATCAGCCCCACAGAGACAGCAGATCTTAACGCCAAAGGCAAAAACAAAACTCCTGAAGAAAACATCCCTGACCTTGAATAGACTTCTTACACAACATACAAAGAATAAAAAACATAAGTTAGATTACATTAAAGCCAAGAATTTATATTTAAAGCACACCATTGAAAGAGTAGAAAGCACCAGGCACAGGGAGAGAGTGCAATCCATCAGCTGACAAAGGCCCCAAAGAATCCTGCTTCTCAGCCAGAGACAGAAACCCGCCCAGGAGAACCGGCAAAGACTCAGGCATTTCCCAAAGAAGCAAAACAAAACAAAGCCAAGTCACTGAGTGAAGGAGCCAGCAGAAGGGGCTCAGTCTCACAGTCACCACACCGGTGCAAGCGAGATGCACACCAAGTCTCTCAGACCCTCCCGAGGCTGAGAGGCAGCATGCGGAGCAGGTGAGCACGTGGAACAGCGGGAGGTCTCCGTGCCGGACAGTCACTCTGCACATGCACTGGACAGTAGCCACATGGACAGCAGACATGACCACACCTGACAGCCCCATGCTGGTCTGTCACACAGTGAGAGGATCAGCTCCGGGACACCACCAAGATGGCTGCACAGCCAGAGGCGATTGCCCACGTTGCCTGCACTGCCTCTGCTGCCCCTACTCCCCTCGCAGGCACCTCTCCTGCTGCTTTGAGGGTAGCGCCAGGCCCAGGAAGGACCGAGGGCTTGCCTGGACAGGTGGCCTAGAGACCATACCGCCCAGCCTGCATCTCTAGGGTTGGAGAATCATGGCTCCATAGCAACTGAGAGCTCCCTGCCTGTGTGGGGCACGAAGAGGGCAACCTCGGGATGTGGCCGGCCCTGACCCTGCTGAGCAGCAAGTGCTGGGAGCCTCTGGGTGGCCCCAGGGGCACGCTCTCCTCTGCTGGGACCTGCAGGCCTCACACAGGGTGCTTGCTGCTCTGCAGTGGTGCCTCCAAGCCCTGGAACCACCCCTACATGGCTCTGGGAAACTGCAGGCACTCTGCATCATGGAGAGGCCACCACCCTGCCTCAGTTTACCTGCAGTCACGCTCCAGCTCCTTGGATTCGTCCGTGCAGTAGAAGAACTTCCCTTTGAAGAGCTGCACGGCAATGACGGCAAAGATGAACATGAAGAGCATGTAGACGATCAGGATGTTGAGGACGTTTTTCAGTGAGTTCACCACACAGTCAAACACGGCCTGCAGGAGGATGGTGGAGCGTGAGGGGGTAGGGCGGGAAGCAGCACAGAGTGGACCAGGAGAGAGCCCAGGGAGCCTCAGGCCTGTGCACAGGTGTCCAGCATCCCACCTTGCTGCTGCCCATCTGCGGGAAGCGGTGGGGCAGACAGAGGACAAAGCAGCAATGCTGTGGCCGTGAGGCCCCAAGGTGACTGTTGTCTCTCACCAGCACCCCTGGGTTTCTCTCAGATCCTCCCACATCTGGATGTTCAGCACCCCAACATGCCCAGTGCCACTTCAGAGCTGAGGAGGCGACACTGTGGGTGCTGCTTGGCACACTCCAGATGCCAGCAGCTGCAAACGAAGCTACTGCCCACACACACTGAGCTCCCTGGACCCAGAGGCCAGTGGATACCTTCTCAGGTCACCTCCTGGCCCACCCCTCCACACAGGTTCTACTTTGCTAACATCTTGGATTTCCAAGCTATTAGTAAGAGAACTTACTGTGTAAGTCTGAGGGTTACACAAGTTCTGGCATAGGAAGTGCCTGGCACCAGCTCAGTGATCATGGGCGTTCAGGACAACGCTCAGCCTCTTCTAGCTTCTCTGCACACCCTCTGCCCTGGGAAGCCCCTCCTCCCTACGCTGCAGGGGTGTGTGCACGCTCACAAGTGTGCACCCACATGCACAGCACACCCTCAGGCTCCAACCTTGAGCTTGGGCAGCCGCTTGATGGTCTTGAGTGGCCGCAGCACACGCAGGACTCTCAGGGATTTGATGGTGCTGATGTCTTTCCCTTTGGATCCTCTAGAAGGGAGAAGCCACAGATGTAGAAGGCAGGGGGTGTGGGTGTGCCCTGCCTACCCCAGCAGCCCACCAGAGCCGGGCCCCAGCCCCAGGAGCAGGGAGGCCACGGTACCTCTCCCCGTGGGCAGCCTGTGCTGGGCCTCCTCTGAGGACAGCCAGATCAGGAGGGTTGAGCCTCCAGAAGGGAGGTAACAACAGCCGCTGAGCAGCACCCAGTGTGCCCCCAACACCCCCCGCCCGACCAGCTTCTAGGGGTCAAGAGGCCAGAGAGGCCCAGGAACAGAGGTCTGCGGGGCCCCTTGGTAGGACAGGTGCTTCCCTGTTCGTCACTAAGTAGAGGGAGAAAAGGGCCTGAGCAGCTCTGCCCTGGGAGAGGAGAGACAGATGCAGAAGAAGAGGGCTGAGAGGCAGCCTGAGAAAGACAGCATCAGACAAGAGGCCGTGCCAGAGGCCCAGGTGCACAGAGACGGACACACCGGGGGCAGGCAGAAAGGGAGGAATGGGGAGGAGAGAGCCACACACAGACAGGAGCAGAGAGGACGCAAGTCCACCAGGAAAGCAGCAGACAAGGTACAAAGGGAGAACCATCAGACGGGAGGCCAGGAGAAAACTTGGGATGGGGGCATCAGAGCCCCTCACAGAGGCCACCAGCACAGCCCAGGTCAGCAGCGTCCTGGCAAGGCCTCCTGTCCTGCAGGCCTGGTTTTCAGAAGCAGGGTGGGGGTAGGGGAGCCCTACCCACTCAGCTCAGAGGCCACTTCAGCCAGGGTCCCTGGGGAGCTGCTGCCCATAGGGCCTGGGCCTCCCCCTACCCGCCTGCTATACCATCCTTGGGCTCCAGCAAGGCTCTGGGCTGAGCAGGGAGTGTGAGCAGCAGCCCTGGCCTCTTTATGGGAGAAGGACGGCACAGGCTCCCCAGCCCACATTCTGGAATCCTAGCCAACCACCCCTGAATTAGCCAAACTCGGCTAATTCCTGGGTCCCAGCACAGCCCTGGCACACACTCCCCAGCCAGCTTTCCCATCAGCAGCAGCAGATTGCAGAGCTAGCTGGGCGGGCAGAGGCAGCAGGGTCTGGGGTCTGTGCCAGCTCAGGGTCTGTTCCTCTTCCGCCCTGAGGCTGCCCAGCTGCTGGCACCCCTTCCCTCCTCCCAGCCAGGCCGTTTCTGACTCTGAAGGCTCCTGTTTCCCTTATCACAGGAAGAGGGCCCATAAGACAGCCAGGGGAACCTCGGTGTGGCAGGAGCCAGTGTGGACAGCCAAGAGGAAAGATGTGTTCTGGGGACAAGTCCCTTGGGACGTCCAGCATTCTGGACCACGGCACGCAGGAAGTGCCCACCCACATCGAGCACGGCCCTCCAGGCTGATGTCCTGGCCCTGGAGCAGGCGTCCTGGGGACACCCTGCCTTCTGAGCAACTCCTCACCCAAGGGGACCTTGCCCAGCCCCAGCCCCCAGAGGCATGGCAGGAACATGTGGCCTGACATGGCTCTGTCAGCATGCAGCCCAGATGAGTGGAGGTGGATGAGCAAGGGCGAGGCTGGGGATGAAACAGCCCTGGAGGGCCATGGGTGTGTCATGAGGTCAGGCAGTATGGGGTGGGATGGGCGGGTGCGGGGAGGCATTACCCCATGAAGCTCCTACCGAGAGTCCAGCAACAGGGAGACAAAGAGAACAAAGTCAGTGGTGCTGGCAGGACAGAGAGGAGGCCTCTGTCTTGGTGCAGCCCTCCCCGTGGGATCAGAGAAGAGACCCTTCCCTCAGGGTCTGGCCTCCACGCCCGGGGGTGGGGGGGTTCTTCCTTATCTCTGAACCTTAGCTCACACAACACTGAATCTGCCTACCCTCAGCCCCACCTTCAGCAGGGACTCAGGGAGCCTCCCAGCTTAGCACAAAGATACCCAGCAGCTCTGATGGGCGGAAAGCACCATGTCTCCAGGGTCTCCTAGGTCTCCGAGGTACCCCAACCCCACAGGGCAGATGCTGCACATGCCAGAGGCCTGAGTGCCCAATCCCAAGACCACGAGCTATAGGACGACAGATGGGCCTTGAGGCCTCTTGACCCCACACAGCCCCACCCGAGGAGACGGGGCAGCATCATATGGGGAGTTATGAAGCCAACACACCCCATGGAGAGTCCCCCTCATTCCCTCATCCCCACCTCCATTATCACTCTCGGGGCTGCCCACTGGACCCAGAGCAGATGTGGTTACTTACGAGAAAGCAAATGCCACCAGGGCCCCACTGACCACAATGAAGTCCAGAATGTTCCACAGATCCCGGAAATAGGCTCCAGGGTGTAGCAGCAGTCCCAAATCGATCATCTTCAAGGGAGAAACACACTTTTGGGTATGTAACATTCCAGAAAAGAGACAAGACCGGTATCCAGAGTCACGGGGGCAGAATGTGGCCCACGGAAGGCTGTGTGGCCGATGGTATACACAGATGTGCATGTCTGTGATCTGGGTGCAGCATGTGTCCACCTTCCTGTGCTCTCCTAAGGGAGAGGCCCTGGGCACCCCTCTGACAGCCTCAGTGCCCCTGGACTCAGGGCTATGGACCCAAGCTCCCCAGCATGGCCCCTGGCTAGGACCCTGCCTGGGCTCCCAGCTTCCCTGGAGCCCAGATAGGACAGTGAGTCTGTCTCCACCGGCCCCTTGGCAGAAGGGCTACAGGGCACACAACCCTGGGGAGCCCATAGCTGCCTAAAACCCCTGTGGGCTAGTCCAGGGCTGTAGGAGGAGCAGCTGGTCACAGGCACATGGATCTCCACCCTGTCTTGGCTCTGCCACACCTGAAGCTGTAAATTTAGCAAGCTCTGTGACCTCTCTAAGCCTCCTCATCTATAAAATGGAAGTGGCAGTGCCTGCCCCACAGGATTTTGCGAGTGTGTGGAATCACAAGAGTAACACGTTAATGCACTGCACACATGAAAGCTACCCTAAGTAGGCATACACACTGTGAGCTGCTCTGAGGTCATGGACATGCACACACAAGTGTACATGCAAACACACTGACTCACACCTGTGCACACAACCAGCAGGCAGGGATGTGGGAGCACAGGACATTGATGTTTAGAGAAAGAATGAGGCCTCCAAAGAACCCGCAGACTTGGGGCCGGCACTGCAGCGTAGCGGGTAAAGCAAACACCTGTAGTGCCGGCATCCCATATGGGCGCCAGTGCGAGTCCCAGCTACTCCGCTCCCAATCCAGCTCTCTGCAATGGCCTCGGAAAGCAGTGGAAGATGGCCCAAGTCCTTGGGCCCCTGCACCCACGTGGGAGACCTGGAGGAAGCTCCCAGCTCCTGGCTTCGGATTGGCGTAGCTCCGGCCATTGTGGCCAATTGGGGAGTGAACCAGTGAGTAGAAGACCTCTCTCTCTCTCTCTGCCTCTCCTTCTCTGGGTAACTTTGACTTTCAAATGAATAAATGAATATTAAAAAAAATAAATGACAGACTCGATCCTTCCTCAATCTCACTTCCATCTCTGTCTCTCTGAGGCCTCCAGCCCTGTGTAGACACACATGTTCTCCCAGGCCATCACAAGGCAATCCCAAGGGAGGGCTAAGCAACCCCAGCCCAGCCTCACACAGCCGGGAGCAGGCAGGGGGACCCAGGAAGAATGGTGGGGAGCATCCTCAATGGCATGCGCACACATGGTGCTGTCCTCATGTCATCACACATGTGTGCATGCAACCACACACCACCCATCCCTGTCCTGAGAGAGGCTGAGTGCGGTACCAGGTTCAGCCACAGCCTCACCTTTATCACCATCTCGAAGGTGAAGACGCCTGTGAAGATGTAGTCCATGTACTTCAGAGCCTGGAACCAGAAGCAGGGCTGTGCTTAAGAGGCCAGGCTGGACGTCCGAGCCAGGGCTGTTGCAGTGGCTCCCAGCCTCCCCCAGGCCTCTGAGCAGACAGCCTGTGGTGGAGGGGACCCACGTGGGCATTGTTCTGGGAACAGGCTGCCTGCAGCTGCAGCCATCATGTGGACCCTGGCACACCCCACCATGAGTACCCCCTAGTTCCTCCCCAGGACGTCCTCATCCCAGGCTCTTCCTGCCCCCATGGCCACTCACATTATTCCTGGGAGAGTCTGTTCTCACGGGGTCCTCGGCAGCCAGGGCGATGCTGCTCAGGGCGATGACCACGAGGATGACCATCTCGAAGTATCGCATGGTCACAATGTAGTGGCAGCAGCGGCGCAGCCTGTGAAGTGAGGGCAAAGTGCAGATGGCCCGGGGGACATGGGCCAGGCCTCCGCCTGTGGGGAAACTCCCCAGGCCAGCCCAGGAAGACTTGCTAGGCCCCAGAGCCAAGCTTCCCCATGGGTCCCCATGGTCACAGCCAGATGGTTTTAGGGAGTGGGACACAGAGGACAAGGGCAAGAAGGCTGCTGGAACCTGCAGCAGGGTCAGTGAGCCACAGCTAACAGGCAGAACAGCCTGCCCACTGCTATGAACAAACCCTGGTGCCCAGCTCCATTCATGCCTTCAGCTACTCTGCGTGGCAGAGCTCGGCCCACGGCAGGTTCCCTTTTGGTAGCATTAGCGCCTGGCAGGCTGCTCTGGGCGTGCTTCGGTCTGCGTTCTCAGCCTGTGTGCAACCACAGCACCACCCCCACCTTCCATGCAGTCACTGTGAACCAGCCCTGGTTTGGTCAGCATTGGTCGGCACGGACACAGAGCACACAACACTGACAGGACACGCAAATCCCTGGGCTCATGAGGTCCCACTCAGCAGCCAAGACACAGCAAAAAGCACAGAAATAGTGAACAGGGGCCTCCCGGATGCTGTCCCACAGCAGCAAAGCTGGGCTGGGGGGCTGGGAGGCAGACAAGCAGGAGCAGCCGCTGGGTGAGCTGGGGTATGACGTCTCTTGATGGCCCTAGGAGACATGCTTGCAGAGCTGCCTGTGCCTGCCCTGCATCCCCAGGCACATCCAGGACACCCCTGCTCTGCTGTGTTCCTCCTCTGACCTCATAGTCCCCAGGACATTTGTCTTGACCTCCTGCCCCCTTCAGCCACCACCCACCTACTCTGTCGCTTCCTCCAAAGGGCTCTGTGCTTACCTCCTCATTTCTGACCTCTGTCCTTTAGCTCCTGACCCCATGGCCACAGAGCTGCTCTTCCAGGCTCACCAGGCACCTGTGGACCCCTCATCTTCCGGAACTACCCCCTCCTTTCCTTCTAATTCCTCAGTCCACCACACATCTCCACTCAGACTCCAGTGTTCACTCAGCCATGGGACAGCCCCAGCTGCCCAAGGCCCCGTAGGATGTGCAGACTGGACCCCTAGTAGTACCTCCAGTCTATGGACACAAGGCCTCTGCCAGGCCATCAGTCAGACACCAGATGTCATCCTTGTCACCTCCCAAGTCTCCCACACTTAGTTCTGCAGGCTATGACTCTGGAATTTTTCTCCAGGCCCTTGCTCCCAATCCATGACCGCTCTGATCAAACAACCGTGGTCTCTCCTGGAGCACCTACAAGGCATTCTCCCATCTACTTTCTCCACAACTCAGCACCTTGTCCAGTGCGGGGCATTCAAGCCCCAGCCACAGACCCTCCTTACCTCCAGGGCTCTGTGAGTGTCCTCAGCCCCTCCCCAGGCCACCCCACAGGCCTGCACAGCTGAGCCTTCCACCCATAGATGCTCCTCCCCTTGCCCCCTGACCTCCTCCTGTTCCCTGAATGCCAGCACCTCCCTGCAATGCCCCATCCATGCCACGTTTGTGAGCAGGCCACCTGTTTGCCTCCCCCACCCAACTTCCCCGTCAGTCCCAACAGGGCCAGGGTCCTAGCTGTGCCTGTACCACAAGACTCCCAAGCCTTCCCAGAGCACAGCAATCTCTCAACAACAGGTAACAATGTGAGAGGAGCAAGGGGCTGGCTGGACATCTCCCTCTGATCGCCTATCTACCAGATCCTGCTCTGGCCAGGCTGGCTCTGCTGCTGCGTCTCCCCTTTGCCCAATCACTGTCCCTCCGCTTACTCAAGTCTCTGCCCAGCTCTCACCTCCGAGGCCCACCTGACCTTTCCAGCACCCAGTCCTGGCCCTGGGCTTCTCCCGGCACTTGTCACAGCCTGACACTTGTCTCCCACTCGCACACCACTGGTGAGAACAGGGGCTTGTGTCTGTCCATTCATTCCTGTGCTTTCCCAGCCCTTGGACTGCTGCTTGCCACATAACTACTGTGGAAATAATGCAAGCCCCTGTGCTGATGGAGAATCATGACAGATCCAACATAGGACCATAGCCTGCATACATGGTGCACAGACACTGCAGGGGGCCAAGGAACTAAGGCACTAGGGCTTAATGAGTGGGCTCAGCACCGAGGCTGGCTGTGTGCATGAGGATGCAGCTCCGTGCCCTCGGCTGCTGTAGTGATCACAGCCACTCATGGGCATCACGTGCACAGGAAGGCGTCCTGGCCAGGGAGCTCACAGGTGTCACGTGCTCAGAACGCATCCTGGCCAGGGAGCACATGGCATCACGTGTGAAGAAGGTGCACCTGCAGTAAGGCTAGCTGGGGTCACACGGGTCATGTTGAACACATGTGTGGGATGGCCACACGACATTGTGGGTAAGACACTCACAGGTTGGTTGGGCTTAAACAGAACATGGAACTGTACGGGACAATGGGCCGAGGGCCGCTCCTCATCACATCGCTGGTTTCCACCTCCTTCTTCCCCTCTGCTTGACTTTCCAGGTCCACGTTTCCACCTAAAACAACACAGGGATTCCACATTAGGGACAGTGCACAGAGCACCCACATCACAGCGGCCAGTAATACAGGTGACTGTGGGCCCACTGTGGGGAGAGGAGGGCACAGGACCAAGACACGGCCTCACACAGATGCAGCATGACTGAGACAGGTGATGGCAGAGCGGCAACCAGAGCTGGAGGCTGCAGGCCATCTGCAGCAGACGCCACATCATAAGGGCCAGCACGGGAGCAGCACCACGGCAGGTACTGCACCTGTGGCCGCAGACTCCCTGCTGCAGGGCCTCTGGTCTAGGTGCTCTCAGAACCCCGAAGCATGGCAAGACCGGTCCCTTTGCTTCTGTAGGGACCAGCAGGACAGAGGGGAGCAGGGGCCAGTCTTCCTGAACACATCATCCAGTCTTACCTGCCAGAGGCCTAGAGAAGCACCTGCTATACTGGGCAGCTGAGGAGGACACAGTGCCCTAGAGAGACCTGCTGGCCACCCCTGCCCCCAAGGCTCATTACCTGCCCTCCTAGCACCCCTTACACCCAGCTTTGCACTTTATTTTTTAAATTTTTTTTTTTGACAGGCAGAGTGGACAGTGAGAGAGAGAGACAGAGAGAAAGGTCTTCCTTTTGCCGTTGGTTCACCCTCCAGTGGCCACTGCGGCTGGCACCGGCGCGCTTCGGCTGGCACACCACGCTGATCCGATGGCAGGAGCCAGGTGCTTCTCCTGGTCTCCCTTGCGGGTCTAGGGCCCAAGGACTTGGGCCATCCTCCACTGCACTTCCAGGCCACAGCAGAGAGCTGGGCTGGAAGAGGGGCAACCGGGACAGAATCCGGTGCCCCGACTGGGACTAGAACCCGGTGTGCCAGCGTCGCAGGCGGAGGATTAGCCTACTGAGCCACAGGATTAGCCTATTAAGCCACGGTGCTGGCCCCAGCTTTGCACTTTAGTAGCTGATGGTTGAGAACTTCGTTCATTTTTAGATAAATTTTGTTGTCCTTAAATAGTATTTTCTCACAGTAATTCTTGATTTTAACTATCCTGATGCATATCTCAGTTCCTGTAGGTGAGAAAAATACTGAGACCTCAGGGACCACAGGGAAGACAACACAGTAGGTTGGGTCCATCTCCCACAGCCACATCTCAAGTTTGCTTCTTTCAAGAAACTCAAAAGCAAAGAGGACACTCAGGAGTCATAGAAATGAGGGTGCTTGTCCCCAGAGCCTGCAGTGGGAACAAGGCTCCAAACCTCCCTCCTTGCCTGCGGCACAGCAGAACAAAGAAGACAAAGCTGCCGACCCTGAGGGGCAGCCTCTCCACGTGCACTGGCACACGCGTCGCAAAGTGATCACTGTTGAAATGGATACTGTCTACCTCCCTGCTGACAACTTAGATTATGTAATCTTCTGAGCAAGTAACTGGGCAGTATGTACTTAAAGCCCTTAAAAATAAATTAATTTAATTTATGGCATTATCTTCTAAGAGAATCATATATGTTCACAAATCTATGTGTTCAAAAGTCTTTGTTTTAAGTTCTTTAAAAGCAGCAGGAAATTATAAAGTGCATAGTGGCAGGGCAGCTAAGTGAGATAGTTACAGTGCAGGCAGCACAGTAGAATCCAGCTAAGTGAGATAGTCACACTGTAGGCAGCACCATGAGAGATCAGCTAAGTGAGATAGTCATGTTGTAGGAAGAACAGCGCAATCCAGCTAAGCGAGACAGTCACGGTGCAGGAAGCACAGTGGGAGATCAGCTAAGTGAGATAGTCACGCTGTAGGCAGCACAGAGATCAGCTAAGTGAAATAGTCACACTGTAGGCAGCACAGTGGGAGATCAGCAAAGTGAGAGTCACACTGTAGGCAGCACAGTGGGAGATCAGCTAAGTGAGATAGTCATATTGTAGGCAGCACAGTGGGAGATCAGCTAAGTGAGATAGTCATATTGTAGGAAGCACAGTGGGAGATCAGCTAAGTGAGATAGTCACTGTGTAGGCAGCACAGTGGGAGATCAGCTAAGTGAGATAGTCATATTGTAGGAAGCACAGTGGGAGATCAGCTAAGTGAGATAGTCACTGTGCTGACATCAGAAGAAGCATGAGAGACCATACTAAAGATGCAGGCTCATTCTCCACATCACAGAAGAGCTGAAACACACAGCAACATGTAGAAATAATGTGGAGGTACTGACTGGGGGATTTCAGAATGGCTTCTGACAGCCCTGTGATTTTTATCAGTAGCTTTCTAATTTATTTTCAAGATTTTTACTTATTTATTTGACAGGCAGAGTTACAGACAGTGAGAGAGACAGAAAGACAGAGAGAAAGGTCTTCCCTCCATTGGCTCATTCCCCAAGTGGTCACAATGGCCAGAGCTGCGCCGATCTGAAGCCAGGAGCCAGGTGCTTCCTCCCAGCCTCCCATGCGGGTGCAAGGGCCCAAGCACTCGGGCCATCCTCCAGTGCCTTCCCAGGCCACAGCAAAGAGCTGGACTGGAAGAGCCAGGACCAGAACCAGCACCCATATGGGATGCTGACGCAGCAGGCGGAGGATTAACCCAGTGCGCCACAGCATCGGCCCCAGTAGCTTTCTAATTTTTAAACAATGTTTCCATGATGAGCACTTATTACTCTAAAATAAGAAATACTTATTATTTTTAAAAAACATATATTTTCAGATTCCTCTAGAATAACAATAAAGCAAACTCCAGAACAAGTAAACTGGGAAAAAAAACAACCAATCTGGACTCCAGGAATTTTGCCTCTCCAAGAGAACAGAACAATGTGAGCTTCTTTCCATAAAGTTTATCTACCACCAGAAAACCACAGAAGACACCAGGACGTCACTGGGAATTGAAAGAACAAGAAAAGGGAAAAGGACCAAAATGAAAATTGCAGCAGATGATGGAAATTCTCTGTTGGGAGCAGGCTCTCAAAAGACGAACACGACAGCAACAAGAGCTAAATCCATAAAACAGAAGAGAGGCTAAGCACAAAGGGGACCCAGGAAAGGCACACGACATGTTCCCCAGGTGCCACTGGACCCTTCCCAGGCGAGCAGGCTGAGGCTGGCCTGCGTAGGCCCCCTGTGTGAATGAGAACCCAAGCCTTGGGCGCGAGGCCAGGGAGGACACCCACATGAACAAACCCCAAGAGGCTACAGTGGTTCCACCTGGGAGCACCCAGGCTCCTGGAAAAAAGCAATGTGAGTCCTCTCCCATGGCCCCACAAAATTCCCACAGATTAGGACAGAACTTAAGTCCTAATTCATCAAGACATCCACGATACAATAGAATTTCCCTCCTTTAAGTCCACTTTTAATTCTTATTTGAAAGGAAGTAAGAGAGAGAGGCCCACAGACAAATAGAAAGATCTTCCCTCTGCTGGTCCTCACCCCAGTGTCCATGATGGCCTGTTCTGGGCACTACTCACTCCAGGCCTCCCATGTAGGTGGCAAAGACCCAAGTACTCAAGCCCTCACTGCTGCCTCATGGGATCTGCATTAGCAGGAAACTGGAATCAGGAGCCAGAGGTAGGACTTGAACCCAGGCATTCAGATGTGGGATGTAAGCATCTCAATGGTACCTAAGCCACCGGGCCAAATCCCACCTCTTAGACCTCTAGAATAATACTACTCATGTGCATTCTCAGGAGAACTAGAAAAGCAGTCAATTGATTCATTTTCATTCTTGTTATCCCATAAAATCTAGTTGAGAGGAGTAAGCTTCCACTTGGAAAGTTGGCATCCCATATGGGAGAGCCAGCTTGAGCTCCAGCTGCTCCTATTCCTGCTAATGGTCTGAGAAAGCACTGGAAGATGATGGCCCAAGTGCTCAGGTCTCTGTCACCCATGTGGGAGACCTGGAAGAAGCCCCTGGCTCCTGGCTTCAACCTGACAGTTTCAGCCACCTGGGGAGTGAACCAGCGGATGGAAGATCTCTCTCTTTCTCTAACTCTGCTTCTCAAATAAATAAATAAATATTTTAAAATTTTTTTAAAAAGTCAGGAAAACATAGGACAAGTGAAGTAAAAAAGACAAAGTTTTTAAGATGAAAGAGACACAAATACAAGATCAAAGATGTGCAGTAAAAATCCTGTAATCTTGTACTTTAATTACAAACGAAGAATTCGTGACACATAATTCTCTTAAAAAGAAAAAAGTCCACCAGAAAGCCTGAAAGCAATGGCACCCTGCAGCAGGAGCACCCTGGCAGTCTCTGACAGCTATCATCAGAGCAGCCAGGTCACCTGGGGCCAGTCCTGCAGGGGCAGAGTGGGGTGTGACCGGCTGTGCTTCCAGCAGCACCCGAGGGACGGGGCACAGCAGGAAGGGCGTAAGGAGGCCAGGCCTGGGTGCACTGACAGCCCCTGGGGTTCTCAACCAGGCCTGGGGCACAGTGCTGGGCGCTCGCTGCCCCACGTTCCCTTCGCTGGCTCAGGGCCACACTGGCACTACAGACACCACGTGCTTCCCAGAGCTCCAGTGGCTCAAGGGCAGCTTCTGAGCAGGAGCTGGAGGCCAGGCCCTGGAGAAGGCAGCTCTTCAGGGGCAGTGACAGCGTCCACCATGCAGCTCTTCCTGGGAAAACGGGCAGTTCCAGGTCTGGGGCAGGACAGGTACAAAAAATCCCAGAACCTGTGTGAGAAGGACTCCAAAGGACACCTGTGAGGATCCCACTGCCAAGATGCAGGAAGAATGACAGAATTGCAAATTCTGCAAATTTTCAAAACCTGGGTGCAAGGCACCACAGTCACTAGAACCACAGGGGTGAACTGTGGAGAACAGACAGCTTAGACTGAGCCCACTGAGCAATCTTCACACTGTGCACAAACACGACGTGGAGCACACGGAGCTGTCCATGGCACTTGCTACGGAGCCAAGCCCCCAGCCTTTTGCAGCCAAGTCTCCAGATGTGAGGTGCACAGGCAGGGTGACTTGGGCTGTGTCCAGCACCGGCTCAGTTCTCTCAAGTACAGGGTGCCCGGCACTATGTGGGCAGAGGCCAGGCATGCCA